ATATCCGAGTATAATTATTTTGTCCATTGGCGTCGGTGTAACTGTTTATCTTATTYGGTTATGTTGGTTTCCATCATTATTATATCCTGAAGTTCCGCAATAAACACGCGGCAACGGTCCGTGTTGTGATTAATAATATGTAATTGCTTAGGTTTTTTTTACTAGTAATGCATTTTAGATACTACAAAAGTAACCATTGATTAATCATATAATATATAGATAGGTTCAATATCACATGTCACATGCGTCAAAATGTAAAATATATCYATATCTCCACATTAGGTAKGATATCCTGTCGAAACATAACTTCCGAAATTTGAATAATGTTTATCWAAATGTCGATCCCGTTTTTTGCCCCACTAACTTATTTTTGTTATTGTTTATATTTTACAATAAAAATTAATTTCAAAAAAATACATCTTATTACAATAATAATATGAAATATATTATTTTACTTAATTAACAGTTAATTCCGTTTATTGAGATAATTTTATGTTTATAAAAATAACCATTTATTGATTTAAAATTATAAAAACCAAATCATAGGCTGTGAAAAAGAAAACGGCATGTTAAATTATCATTTTATGAGRATCTGAGATCATCGTTACGATAATAGTAATAACAGGACAAAATTACATAACTATTTAATTTTAGGCATTTGAGAAATTAAATACGTGATTCTCAAATTAACCAAATATTGATGGTTTCTGTTCYTAATAGATTTAAATTTTTTCTTTGACTGTRGTTTRCATCATATGAGAGACATCGTTATATGCGAATACACGATGATATTATCTAAATCAATATAGTATTGAGTCTTTGATGAACCGTGGTGATAATAATACTGTATCAAATGCATCGTATTCTTTGTTATTCACATTGTTTCATAACCTTAATCTTTGGTCAGGCAATACAATAATTGCCGAGTCGTTGTATTACTTGTATACATAACGGTGCATACACGAATAAGACCAGAATTTTAGATTTACAAAAATTATTATAATAATATTATAACGCAATTTCGTGACGTACAATGTACAAAGCAAGTCATCTAGCGCGTACATCCTTCGATACCAAACTCTGGCGTAAAATGTAATAGATAATAGATATATTATTACTTGTACCGTATAAATAGCTGTTAATTCCTCCGATAACGATAGGCAGGTACATATATTAATATAACGACGGAAAATGTTTAAAAAGAAAATTATTTGAAT